TATATGAATATAATAATAATAATAATAATAATAATAATAATAATAATAATAATAATAATAATAGAATCCACAAGGGCCATCATGGCTATATGAATATAATAATAATAAATAATAATAATAATAATAATAATAATAATAATAATAGAATCCACAAGGGCCATCATGGCTATATGAATATAATAATAATAATAATAGTAATAGTAATAATAATAATAATAATAATAATAATAATAATAATAGAATCCACAAGGGCCATCATGGCTATATGAATATAATAATAATAATAATAATAATAATAATAATAATAATAATAATCCTATACAACAGCCAGCAGAGTGTCTGCTGTGGACTCATCTTGTTGTGTTTCAAATAATAATAATAATAATAATCTCCACAAGGGCTATCCTGTCCATATAGTCCAATCTAATGATATCATAATAATACAAGTATAATAATAATAATAAACTATAATAATAATAAAATATAATAATGATACAACAATAATGAATATATTTTAATAAATAATAATAAAGTGTACAGTAATAATAATATAAAATATAATATTAAATAATAATAATGAATTATAACAAATAATAATACAAGTATAATAATAATAATCTATAATAATAATAAAATATAATAATAATAATGATACGACAATAATAAATATATTTTAATAAATAATAATAATAAGGTGTACAGTAATAATATAAAATATAATTATATTAAATAACAATAATGAATGATAACAAATAATAATACAAGTATAATAATAATAAAATATAATAATAATAATGATACGACAATAATAAATATATTTTAATAAATAATAATATGAAGTGTACAGTAATAATAATATAAAATATAATAATATTAAATAATAATAATGAATTATAACAAATAATAATACAAGTATAATAATAATAAACTATAATAATAATAAACTATAATAATAATAATGATACGACAATAATAAATATATTTTAATAAATAATAATAATAAAGTGTACAGTAATAATAATATAAAATATAATATTAAATAATGATAATGAATTATAATAAAATATAATTAATAATGAAATATAATAATATAATGATAAAATATAATAAAAATGTAATAATATAAAATGTAATACTGATATTAGATAATGATAATAAATTGTAATAAAATATTATAATAATATAAAACATGGTGATACTAATAATATAGTAATAATATAAAATATAATGATAATAAAATATCATTATAATCATATAATGATAATGATAAAATATTATAAAAATGTAATGATAATATAAAATATAATAATGATGCTATAATGATATTAATAATAAGAGCAATATGATGATAATAATTAATTATTAATATTAATAATTATTAATAATATAAAATGCAATAATAATTATATGATAATAATAAATAATATAATAATAACAATAATGATACCATAAAAATGTAATATAATAATAATAATAATAATAATAATAATAATAATAATGTACCTGCTTGGGGGGGCCCGCTCCTTGGCCCACTGCATCTGGCTCTCTTCGGTGGGCAATGGCGGGGGCTCCTCCCAGGTCGAGTCCGAAACTACGTCTCCCGCCGGGGCCTCCATTAGCGGCAATGGGGGGCCCTCCTCCTCCTCCTCCACCCCCTCCTCTTCTTCATCCCCTCTTCCTCTCTCTTCTTCTCCTTCTTCTTCTTCCTTCTCTGGAGGCGCGTCCACAGACAGGGGCTGGAAAGATGGAAGACAAGGATAAATGCATCCCAGGATGGATGGCCATCTGCCGGGAGAGATCAGGTGGTGACCTTCCTTCATGGCAGGAAGAATGGGGTGGGATTGGGTGGTCTCTAGGGGTCCTTCCAACTCTAGGGTTCTATGGCTCGTATTATTATTGTTGTATTATTATTATTAATATATATATTATTTATTATATTATTCTTACTATCATTATTTATTATTATTAATATTATTATTATTTATTAATCCCAGGATGGATAGGATGGTAGGAAGCAAGCATTGTTGTTATTTATATTATATAATACGGTAATATAAATAATAATAATAATAATTTATATTATATTATTCTTTTTATTATCATCATTATTTATTATTACTTTTATTATTATTATTATTATTATTATTATTATTATTATTTATTAATCCCAGGATGGACGGGATGGCAGGAAGCTGTTGTTGTCTATATTATATAGTAATAATAATAATAATAGCCATTATTGTTATTTATATTATCATTATTACTATTACTATTACTATTACTATTATTATTATCATTATGGTTAATACAGAGTCTCATCACAGGAATATTTGACTCCTTCCTCCATCCTTTTGGCCTTTTCCAACTATTATTATTATTATTATAATTATCTATTATTATTTATATTATAATTATAATCATTTATATTATTATTATCAGTATTATTGATATTATTATCATTATCTATTATTATTTATATTATAATTATAATCATTTATATTATCATTATCAGTATTGATATTATTAATATTGTCATAATTCTTATTTATATTATATTATCAATGTTATTATCATCATCATTAGCATATTTATATTATTATTAATATGTATAGTATTTATATTATTAAATTATTATTATTATCATTATTACTTATGTTATTATTGTCATTTATATTACTATTATTGTTTATATTATTATTTATATTATCATTAATATGGAGTCCCCAGTCGTAAAGGGAAAATCTTTACCTACATTTACCTATTATTTATGTTATTATTGTCATTATTTATATTAGCATTATTATTTATGTTATTATTGTCATTTATATTAGTATTATTGTTTATATTATTATTTATATTATCATTATTAGGGAAAATCTTTACCTACATTTACCTATTATTTATGTTATTATTGTCATTATTTATATTAGCAATATTATTTATGTTATTATTGTCATTTATATTAGTATTATTGTTTATATTATTATTTATATTATCATTATTAGGGAAAATCTTTACCTACATTTACCTATTATTTATGTTATCATTGTCATTATTTATATTAGCAATATTATTTATGTTATTATTGTCATTTATATTAGTATTATTGTTTATATTATTATTTATATTATCATTATTAGGGAAAATCTTTACCTACATTTACCTATTATTTATGTTATTATTGTCATTATTTATATTAGCAATATTATTTATGTTATTATTGTCATTTATATTAGTATTATTGTTTATATTATTATTTATATTATCATTATTAGGGAAAATCTTTACCTACATTTACCTATTATTTATGTTATTATTATTATTATTTATATTAGCAATATTATTTATGTTATTATTGTCATTTATATTAGTATTATTGTTTATATTATTATTTATATTATCATTATTAGGGAAAATCTTTACCTACATTTACCTATTATTTATGTTATTATTGTCATTATTTATATTAGCAATATTATTTATGTTATTATTGTCATTTATATTAGTATTATTGTTTATATTATTATTTATATTATCATTATTAGGGAAAATCTTTACCTACATTTACCTATTATTTATGTTATTATTGTCATTATTTATATTAGCAATATTATTTATGTTATTATTGTCATTTATATTAGTATTATTGTTTATATTATTATTTATATTATCATTATTAGGGAAAATCTTTACCTACATTTACCTATTATTTATGTTATTATTGTCATTATTTATATTAGCAATATTATTTATGTTATTATTGTCATTTATATTAGTATTATTGTTTATATTATTATTTATATTATCATTATTAGGGAAAATCTTTACCTACATTTACCTATTATTTATGTTATTATTATTATTTATATTAGCATTATTATTTATATTCTCATTATTGTTATCAATCATTATTATTTATATTATTATCATGAAGTAAGAGTAAACATTACGTCCAGTCTTGTCCGACTCTGGGGGTTGGTGCTTATCTCGATTTCTAAGCCGGCATTGTCCATAGACACCTCCAAGGTCATGGGGCCAGCATGGAGCAACCTTACCTTTCCACCTATTATTTATTTATCGTGTCATCAGCAACCATTGTATTACAATTCTAATAGAGCAAAACAAACACAGAGATTAAAAAGAAAAAGGAAAAAAACACACAGATTTTGCAAATTTGGTATTTGGTTAAATGTCCTTTGACCAGTATCTGGCCACTTGGAGTGCCTCTGGTGTTGCCGCAAGAAGGTCCTCCATCGTGCATCATGTGGCAGGGCTCAGTGCATTGCAGCAGGTGGTCAGTGGTTTGCTCTTCTCCACACTCGCATGTCGTGGATTCCACTTTGTGGCCCCATTTCTTGAGGTTGGCTCTGCATCTCGTGGTGCCAGAGCGCAGTCTGTTCAGCGCCTTCCATGTCGCCCAGTCTTCTGTGTGCCCAGGGGGGAGTCTCTCATCTGGTATCACCCATGGATTGAGGTGCTGGGTTTGAGCCTGCCACTTTTGGACTCTCGCTTGCTGGGGTGTTCCAGCGAGTGTCTCTGTAGATCTAAGAAAACTATGTCTTGATTTAAGTCGTTGACATGCTGGCTGATACCCAAACATGGTCCTTTCACTATTGGCTGCTACTTCCCAATAGTGGGGGACATGAGAGAAGCCTCCTCGCAGGATTGCAAGACATCCAGGCGTCCCCTGGGCAACGTCTTCGTAGACGGCCGATTCTCTCGATCCAGAAGCAACCAGAGACAACTTGCGGTACCTATTGATCTACTCACATGTTTTTGAACTGCTAGGTTGGCAGGAACTGGGGCTAAGAGTAGGAGCTCACCCTGCTCCCGGATTTGAACCACCAACCTTTCGGTCAGCAAGTCCAGCAGTTCAGCGGATTAACCCGCTGCACCACCAGGGGATCAATTATCATTATAATTGTTATTTATATTATTATTATTATTATTATTATTATTATTATTTCTATCATTATTAGGATGATGATGTAGAGGTTCACCAGGGGCGTGTGGAGGAGGCTGAGCCCGGCGGCGGTGGCCAGGTCGTGGGCTTTGGCCTCTTCCTCGGTGGGGTCAGCGGGGGGCCGCAGGAGGTGGACGACCTTGACCCAGGCCTGGAAGTCGGCGGAGGGGGCGGCGCCCTCGCTTGGCGGCGGGAGGAGCTGCAGGTAGAAGGTGCGCCCGGTGGCCAGCTTGAAGCGCAACTGCTGGCGCTCCAGGTCGTGGATGGAGATCTTCACAAAGCACAAGGGCAGCAGCCTAGGGAACCACAACCACAAGGTCATCATCCTCATTTATTATTTATTATTATTATTGCATTAAATATTATTACTACATACCATTACTATTATTCTTACATAAAGGTATTATTATGGCGATGAAGGCGTCATTGTTATTATTATTATTATTATTATTATTACTATTTATTATTTATTATCATTATTATTATTATTATTTTAAATATTATTACTACATACCATTACTATTATTCTTACATAAAGGTATTATTATGGCGATAGAGGGGTCATCATTATTTATTACTATTATTATTATTATTACTATTTATTATTTATTATTATTATTATTATTACATTAAATATTATTACTACATAACATTACTATTATTCTTACATAAAGGTATTATTATGGCGATGAAGGCGTCATTGTTGTTATTATTATTATTATTATTATTATTATTATTATTATTACTATTTATTATTTATTATCATTATTATTATTATTATTATTATTTTAAATATTATTACTACATACCATTACTATTATTCTTATATAAAGGTATTATTATGGCGATAGAGGGGTCATCATTATTTATTACTATTATTATTATTATTACTATTTATTATTTATTATTATTATTTATTATTATTATTATTACATTAAATATTATTATTACATACCATTACTATTATTATTGTTACATAAAAGTATTATTATGGTGATGGAGGGGTCATCGTTATTTATTATTATTATTATTATTACATTAAATATTATTACTACATACCATTACTATTATTCTTACATAAAGGTATTATTATGGCGATAGAGGGGTCATCATTATTTATTATTATTATTATTATTATTATTACTATTTATTATTTATTATCATTATTATTATTTATTATTATTATTATTTATTATTATTATTATTACATTAAATATTATGATTACATACCATTACTATTATTATTGTTACATAAAAGTATTATTATGGTGATGGAGGGGTCATTGTTATTTATTATTATTATTATTATTACATTAAATATTATTACTACATACCATTACTATTATTCTTACATAAAGGTATTATTATGGCAATGGAGGGGTCATCATTATTATTATTATTATTATTATTATTATTATTATTATTATTATTATTACTATTTATTATTTATTATCGTTATTATTTATTATTCTTATTTTTTATTATTATTATTATTATTATTATTATTATTATTATTATTCCATTAAACATTATTACATACCATTACTATTATTCTTACATAAAGGTATTATTATGGCGATGGAGGGTTCATTATTAGTATTATTATTACTATTTATTATTACTATTACCATTACTATTATTCTTACATAAAGGTATTATTATGGCGATGGAGGGGTCATCGTTATTTATTCTTATTATTCTTATTCCATTAAACATTATTACATACCATTACTATTATTCTTACATAAAGGTATTATTATGACAATGGAGAAGTCATCACTATTATTATTATTATTATTTATTACATTAAATATTATTATTACATACCATTACTATTATTCTTACATAAAGGTATTATTATGGCGATGGAGGGGGTCATAGTTATTATTATTATTTATTTATTATTACATTAAATATTATTATTACATACCGTTACTATTATTACATACCATTACTATTATTACTATTATTTATTATTATTTATTATTATTACATTAAATATTATTATTACATACCATTACTGTTATTCCTACATAAAGGTATTATTATGGAAATGGAGGGATCATCATTATTATTAATAATAATAATTACATTAAATATTATTATTACATACCATTACTATTATTACTATTATTTATTATTATTTTTGATTATTACATTAAATATTATTATTACATACCATTACTATTATTACTATATTGTTATTGTTATCATTACAGAAAACATCATTACATATTATTATTACAAAAGTTGTTATTACATATAATAATAAAATATTATATTACATAAAATTATTATATTATTATTATTATGGGGAGCTGGGTAGTAAATAATAATAATAATAATAAATAATAATAATAATAATAATATATTATTATTATTATTATTACTATTAGAGGCTGTGTGGCCCTAATATAATATAATATAATATAATAATATAGTAATATAATATATTATTATTATTATTAATAATAATAATAATAATAATAATAATAATAATAATAATAAATATATTGTTTCATTATAAAATATAATATAATGACTGCTAAGAGTTTGGACTAGATGGCCTTTGGGGGTTCCTTCCAACTATAGGACTGTATAGATCATAATAATAATAATAATTATTATTTTTATTATTATTACTACTACTAATTTATTATTACTCATCCTCATCCTCATCTCCCTGCCTGACCGGATGTCCTCTGCTCACCTGGTCAGCTCGAACCTGGTGACTAGGTTGCTTCCGGCATTGTTGTTTCCGGGGAGCTTGTGGGGGGCCCGTGGGTCAGTGGCAGGGGTCAAGGGTCGGGCCAGGAGCAGGACGTTGGGCACCTGGAGGCTGGGGCTGGTGGCCACAATGGCCGCTCGGACCAGCTGCACCTGGTTGTGGACGTCCAGGGCGCCCCCCTGCTTGCTCACCTGCGGAGGGAAAAATAATAATAATAATAATAATAATAATAATAATAATAACAACAATAATAATAATAACAATAATAACAATAATAATAATAAAGTTAGAGATCTGCAGAACTCCCTGCCACCGGAATGCGTTCCAACTTTGGGATGTCTCTTGACCATCCGGTCCCACCTGGACGAAGTCGGCCTCGAACATGGAGGCCCACTTGAAGATGTTGTACTCCCCGGCACGCAGCTGGCGCTGGAGCGGGCCCATGGCCGTGTCAAAGAGGCCACGGGCGGCCGTGATGTTGGAGGGCGGCACTGGCGGCTGGGGGGTCAGCGGCACCTTCTCCGAGGTCATCGTCACAAATGTCCGGCCCGCCTGCGGAAGGAGGGAGGAAGGGGGGGGGGATGCTTAAAGAACTACGACTCTCTCAGTATAATGCAATCGCAAGAGTACATTCCAATGGGTATCAGGACCTTGCAATGGTCACTAAGGCCTTCCAATGACCATTGAGTCCTTCTGATGACCACTAAGGCCTTTTGATGAACCTTGATAGCTCCCAATGACCACTAAGGCCTTCCGGTGGCCATTAACCCCTTCTGATGACCACTAAGGCCTCCCAATGACCATCAAGCCCTTCCCAATGACCATTGAGGCCTTCTGATGACCACTAAGGCCTTCTGATGACCCTTGATAGCTCCCAATGACCATTAAGGCCTTCCGATGGCCTTTGACCCCTTCTGATGATCACTAAGGCCTCCCACTGACCACTAAAGCCTAATGACAACTAATGCCTTCCCATGACCACTAAGACCTTCTAATGACCATTGAGCTTTTCCCAATGACCATTGAACCCTTTCCAATGACCATTGAGCCCTTCCAATGACCACTAAGGCCTTCCGATGACCCTTAATAGCTCCCAATGATCACTAAGGCCTTCTGATGGCCATTGAACCCTTCTGATGACCACTAAGGCCTTCCAATGACCACTAAAGCCCAATGACCACTGCAGCCTTCCCACGACCAGTACAGCCTTCCCATGACCACTAAGGCCTCCCAATGACCAGTGAGCCCTGCCCAATGACAATTGAGCCCTTCCGATGACTAATAAGGCCTTCCGATGACCCTTAATAGCTCCCAATGACCACTACACCTTTGCAATCACTACTACGGCCTTCCCACGACCACTAAGGCCTTCCAATGACCACTACACTCTTGCAATTACTACTACAGCCTTCCCATGACCACGAAGGCCTCCTAGTGACCATTGGGCTCTTCCCAAAAACCACTAAGGCCTTCTGATAACCCTTGATAGCTCCCAATGACCACTAAGGCCTTCCAGTGACCACTAAAGCCTAATGACCACTACAGCCATCCATTGGAAGGGGTCAATGGATATTGGAAGGGTATTGGAAGAGATCAATGCGCATTGGAAGGGATCAATGTGTACTGGAAGGGCCTGAAATCCACTGGGAGATATCAAGGGTCACTGAAAGGGGTCAATAGGTATTGGAAGGGTATTGCAAGAGATCAATGGGCATTGGGAGGGATCAATGGGAACTGGACGGGCCTGAAATACATTGGGAGCTATAAGTGGGTATTGGAAAGGTATTGGAAGAGATCAGTGGTCATTGGAAGGGCCTGAAATGCTTTGGGGCTATCAGGGATTATTGGAAGTGATCAATGGATATTGGAAGGGTATTGGAAAAGATCAATGGACATTGGAAGAGGTCAATGGGTATTGGAAGGGCCTGACATGCATTGGGAGCTATCAGGGGTTATTGGAAGGGATCAATTGGTATTGGAAGGGTATTGGAAGGGATAGGTGGACATTGGAAGGGGTCAGTAAGTATTGGAAGGGCTTGACGTGCATTGGGGGCTATTGGGGGTTATCGGAAGGGATCAATGGGTATTGGAAGAGTATTGAAAGGGATCAATGGACATTGGAAGGGGTCAATGGATATGCGGATTGGGGGCTATCAAGGGTTATTGGAAGGGATCCATGGGTATTAGAAGGGTATCAGAAGGGATCAATGGACATTGGAAGGGATCAATAAGTATTAGAAAGGCCTGGCATGCATTGGGGACTATCAAGGGTTATCGGAAGGGATCAGTGGGTATTGGAAGGATATTGGAAGGGATCAATGGACATTGGAAGGGGTCAATAAATATTGGAAGGGCTTGACATGCATTGGAGGCTATTGGGGGTTATCGGAAGGGATCAATGGGTATTGGAAGAGTATTGAAAGGGATCAATGGACATTGGAAGGGGTTAATAAGTATTGGAAGGGCCTGACATGCATTGGGGCTATCAAAGGTCATTGGAAGATATCAATGCATATTGGAAGCTACCAGTGGGTATATGTCCATTGAAGAGATCAATGGACATTGGAAGGGGTCAATAAGTATTGAAAGGGCCTGACATGCATCGGGAGCTATCAAGGGTCATTGGAAGGGACCAATCGGTATTGAAAGGGTATTGGAAGGGATCAATGGGCATTAGAAAGAGTCACTGGGTATTGGAAGGGCCTGACATGCATTGGGGGCTATCAGGGGTTATTGGAAGGAATCAATGGGTATTGGAATGGTATTGGAATGGATCAATGGACATTGGAAGAGGTCAATAAGTATTGGAAGGACCTGACATGCATTGGGGGCTATCAGGGATTATTGGAAGGGATCAATGGGTATTGGAAAGGATCAATGGACACTGGAAGAGGTCAATAAGTATTGGAAGGACCTGACATGCATTGGGGGCGATTGGGGGTTATCGGAAGAGACCAATGGGTATTGGAAGGGATCAATGGACATTAGAAGGGATCAGTAAGTATTGGAAGGGCCTGACATGCATCGGGGGCTATCAGGGGTTATTGGAAGGGATCAATGCGTATTGGAAGGGTATTGGAAAACATCAATGGACATTGGAAGAGGTCAATGGATATTAGAAGGGCCAGACATGCCTCGGGAGCTATCCAGGCCCTTCTGATGCCCAATGACCCTTCCCAATGACCCTTGATAGCTCCCAATGCATGCCAGGTCCTTCCAATACTCATTGATCCCTATCAATACCCTTCCGATACCTATGGATCCCTCCTTGGCCTGACCTTTGCTCTTTCCCGGCTGACCCCTGCTGGCCCTGGGCTCTGCCCTTCCTGATGCCCTGGGCCTGGCCTGACCAGGAAGCCACCCAATGACATCACTTCCTGCCTCTATGACCTCAGAGCCAGCAGCCAGGCCCCCACAGACCCCATAGCCTGCGTCCACACCATCCTTTGAATGCAGTTCACCAGATGGTCAACACCGAAACCAGATGGACTCCATCATGTGCAGTCAAAGGTGGTGGAGATCCACCCAGTTGGTGAAAACAAGACCTGGAGCCGATTGTAGTTCAGATCACGGACTTCTCATTGAACTATTGAGATTCAAACTACAGAGATTATGGAAAACACACAGACCAGCGAATATGCAGTGGAGGGGAAGAATAGGTTGCCCTCCCAATGCCCATTGATCTCTTCCAATACCCTTCCAATACCTATTGACCCCTTTCAATGACCCTTGAGATCTCCCAATTGATTTCGGGCTCTTCGAGTACACATCGATCCCTTCCAATGCCCATTGATCTCTCCCAATACCCTTCCAATATCCATTGACCCCTTCCAATGACCCTTGATGGCCTCCAATGCATCTCAGGCCCTTCGGATAGCTATTGATCCCTTCCAATATCTTTCTAATGCCCACTGATCACTCCCACTGTATTTCAGACCCTCTCAGTACCCATTGACCCCTTCCAATGTCCATTGATCCCTTCCAATACCTTTTCAATACCGATTGGTCCCTTTCAATGACCCTTGATATCTCCCAGGGATTTCAGGCCCTTCCAGTACTCATTGATCCCTTCCAATGCCCATTGATCTCTCCCAATACCCTTCCAATATCCATTGACCCCTTCCAACGACCTTTGATATTTCCCAATACCTTTCTGATACCTATTGATCCCTTCTGATATCCACTGACCCCTTCCAATGACCCTTGATAGCCTCCAATGCATCTCAGGTCCTTCTGATAGCTATTGATCCCTTCCAATATCTTTCTAATACCCAATACTGATGACTTCCAATACCCACTGATAGCTCCCAATACATTTCAGGTCCTGTTGGTACCCATTGATTCCTTCTGATGCCCATTGATTCCTTCCAATACCTTTCTGATGCCCATTGACCCATTTCAATGACCCTTGATATCTCCCAATGGATTTCAGGCCCTTCCAGTATTAATTGATCCCTTCCAATGCCCATTGATCTCTCCCAATACCCTTCCAATATCCATTGACTCCTTCCAACAACCTTTGAAGGGTATTTCCCAATACCCTTCTGATAGCTATTGATCCCTTCTGATATCCATTGAGCCCTTCCAATGACCCTTGATAGCCTCCAATGCATCTCAAGCTCTTCTGATAGCTATTGATCCCTTCCAATATCTTTCTGATACCCACTGATGGCTTCCAATACCCACTGATAGCWCCCAATGCATTTCAGGCCCTCTCAGTACCCATTGATTCCTTCTGATGCCTATTGARCTCTCCCAATACCCTTCCAATACCCATTGACCCCTTCCAATAACCCTTGATAGCCTCCAATGCGTCTCAGGCCCTTCGGATAGCTATTGATCCCTTCCAATATCTTTCTAATACCCAATACTGATGGCTTCCAATAGCCACTGATAGCTCCCAATGCCTTTCAGGCCCTCTCTGTACCCATTGATTCCTTCTGATGCCTATTGATCACTTCCAATACCCTTCCAATACCTATTGACCCCTTCCAATGACCCTTGATATCTCCCAATGGATTTCAGGCCCTTCCCATCCTTATTGATCCCTTCCAATGACCACTGATAGCTGTGAATGTGGACTTAACAGACCCCTGACAACTCAAATATAATATATAATATTATATATTATATTCTATATAATATATAGAACATAATAACCCAACAAGGACAATTTAATAATATGATAATATATTACATTACAAAATAGAATACAATAATGTAGTAATATATTATTATTATATTAAAAATATAATAATCCAACAGGAACAGTTTCACAATATTATAATACATTACATTATAACATAGTAATATTATTAGTATTTTATTATCATTTGTTATTGTTGTTCTATGGCAAGGAATCCAATATTTATCTTTTTCTCGCGCCCGCCCGCGCGGCTTTCCTCTTTTTTTTCCGCCCGAGAACCGCAAAGCCAACCTCGGCGGCGGGAGGGGGCGCCTTTCTGGGAAGAGCGGAGTCGCCGTCGCCTAGGAGACAGACAATGGGAGCTGCGGCGGGAGGTGCGCGCTTGGGCCCGGGAACAGCCTCCCTGTTTTCGCGAGTTCGAGGCCCGCTTGAGGCCAAAAAAAGCAAGAAAGGGGTTTCCGGGGAATTGGGCGGAAGGGGCTTGGTTTTTTTTTTTTTTTGCAACCGCCCCTTCCTCTTTTGCAAGGCCGGGGACCCCTCGGTGGATTCGGATCGTTGCAATCCCTACCCCCCTTTTTTGTATCTTGCATTTTCTATTTTTGTTGCAAATCCTTTTGTATTTATTTTGCAGTCGGAAGGAGACGCCCCAGAAAGGAAGGAAGAAAGGAGCAATCTGCAAAAAAGGAAAAAGGGATTTTTCCTCCCCGGGAGGAACAAACAAAAGCCTCCCAAGAACAACAACAGAGAGAGAAAGATTGCAAAAAGGATCCCAGCATGCAAAGGTAACCCTGCAAAAATATGAATATATATATTTTGCAAAAATAGGAAAATTGCCCCTGTTTCTTGGTTTACTGGCTGCCCCTTTTGTGTATTTCTTCCAAGGCTTTTCCCTCTCTAAAATATTCCATGGAGTCTCTAAAAAATATTATTATTATTATTATAATTATTTTAAATATTTATTATTATATTAAAATGTTACATTGTTTTTAGAATTATATTATTATTTAAAATATTATATTATTATATAAAATATGTATTGTATTAAAATGTTACATGGTTTTTAGGATTATATTATTTAAAATATAATGTTATGGAGTCTTTTAGAAATATTATTATTATTTAAAATATTTATTATTATTATTATTATTATATTGAAATGTTACTTGGTTTTTGGAATTGTATTATTATTTAAAATATTATGAATTCTTTTAGAAATATTATTACATAAAATATTAAAATATTACATGGTTTTTAGAATTATTTAAAATATAATGTTATGGAGTCTTTTAGAAATATATTACTATTTAAATATTTTTATTATATTGAAATATTACATGGTTTTTGGAATTATATTATTATTTAAAATACTATTATATTATTATATAAAATATGTATTATATTAAAATGTTACATGGTTTTTAGGATTATATTATTTAAAATATATTATAATGTTATGGGGTCTTTTAGAAATATATTATTATTTAAAATATTTATTATTATTATTATATTAAAATGTTACATGGTTTTTGGAATTGTATTATTATTTAAAATATTATGTTATAATGTTATGGAGTCTTTTAGGAACATAGTATTATATGCAATATTTATTATTACATTAAAATATTACATGGTTTTGGAATTATATTATTATTTAAAATATTATTATATTATAATGTTATGAAGTCTTTTAGAAATATTATTATATAAAATATTATTATATTAAAATGTTACATGGTTTTTAGGATTATATTATTTAAAATATAATGTTATTGAGTCTTTTAGAAATATATTATTATTTAAAATATTTATTATATTAAAATATTTCATGGTTTTTGGAATTATATTGTTTAAAATATTATTACATTCTATCTTTTAGAAATATTATATAAATATTTATTATTATATTAAAATATTACATGGTTTTTGGAATTATATTATTATTTAAAATATTATTTTATAATGTCATGAAGTCCTTTAGAAATATTGTATAAAATATTATATTGAAATGTTACATGGTTTTTAGAATTATGTTATTTAAAATATTACTATTATATTATAATGTTATGGGGTCTTTTAGAAATATTATTATATAAAATATTTATTATTATATTAAAATATTACACGGTTGTTTAGAAATATATTATTATTATTTAAAATATTTATTATTATATTGAAATATTACATGGTTTTTAGCATTATATTATTATTTAAAATATTATTATTATATTATAATGTTATGGAGTCTTTTAGAAATATATTATTATTATTATTATTTAAAACATTATATATCAAAATATTACATGGAGACTTTTAGAAATATATTATTATTATTATAGAAAATATTTGTTGTTTTTATATATTAAAATATTCCATTATTATTATTATTATTATTATTATTATTATTAGATAAGAACATAATGCTTTTAAAATATATATTTTTATTATTATTACTTTATTATATATATACTTAAAATATTCCAAGAGGCCCAAAGTAAGAACATGATGCCTTTTTAAATATTTTACTACTATTATTGTATGAATTATTATTTATTATTTTTATATTATTGTTTTTTATTTTATTTATTATATTATTATTTACTTTTTATTTTATTTTGTTATTTTTTATTTTAATTATTTTTTATTATATTACTATTATTTTCAATGGGAAAAGCCAGGGGATGTAAGGAAGCATGGTTTGCATTGCAAGAAATATATATATATAATATTATATATATATATATATATATATATATATATATATATATATATATATATAATCAAGCTGACTTGATGGGTTTGAGCCATCATTGCAGATTTGCAGCCTAATTAATTTAATATTATATTATGCATGTAATACATATTATTTGGTTATTTCACGTCATGTATTTCATTACTCACTTCATTTATTTATTTAATTTTTGGTGTATTTTATGGCATATTGATTTTATTATTTCCCTTTATTTTTGTGTTATTTATTAATGTATATTTTATGTATGTATTTATTTCATTTATTATAGGAGAAAGAAGGCGTGGTTTTCTGTATTTCCCATAGAAAATACAGAAAAGAGCCTTAATTAATAATACATAATAATAATAATAATAATAATAAGCAAATAATAGTCATGAAGCTTAGAGACGTGTATAACAATAACAATAATAATAACAACAGATCTAGACACGTTTCATTATTTTTGAATGTTAATTTTCTGATTAGATATAAGATTGTTTGTGTCTAATAATTAATAAAAATAAAGAAAAAACAACAACAACAACAATAATAACAACAATAATAATAATAATAAGTAACACCAATATAAGACTGTTAGCAAATAATAGTCATGAATGACAGAGGTGTGTATTGTCACCTTCCTATTTCGATAATAATACTAATTATTAAGGATAAGCAGTAAATAATAATATCAGAACAGTGGATAGTGGTGTTGTTTTGTTGTTGTAGTAGCTGATAGTGGTGTTGTTGTTGATAGTGTTGATGATGACACTAGTGTTGCTTTCTTGTTGATAGTGGTGTTGATAGTGTTGATGAAGGTGATAGCGGTGTTGTTTTGTTGTTGATAGTGGTGTTGTTGATAGTGGTGTTTTGTGGTTGTTGATAGTGTTGTTGTTGATGATGATAGCGGTGTTGATGACGACAGTGGTGTTTTGTTGTCGTTGATGATAGTAATGTTATTGTTGTTGATAGTGGTGTTGTTGATAGTGTTGTTGCTTTCTTGCTGTTGATAGTGTTGATGAAAATGATAGTGGTGTTGTTTTGTTGTTGTTGATAGTGTTGTTGATAGTAGTGTGTTGTTGTTGATAATGGTGTTGTTGTTAATAGTGTTGATGATGATAGTGGTGTTTTGTTGTTGATAGTGGTGTTGTTTTGTTGTTGATAGTGTTGTTGATGATAGCGGTGTTGATGATAGCGGCGTTGTTGATAGTGTTGTTGATGATGTGTTGATGATAGTGGCTTTGATGATGATAGTGGCGTTGTTTTCTTGTTGTTGATAGTGTTGTTGATGATGATAGTGGTGTTGTTTTGTTGTTGTTATGTGTTGATGATATTGATAGTGGTGTTGTTGTTGATAGTATTGTTATTGATGATAGTGGTGTTGATGATATAGTGGCATTGATGATGATAGTAGTATTGTTTTGTTGTTGATGATGATAGTGGTGTTGTTTTGTTGTTGTTGATAGTGTTGTTGATAGTAGTGTGTTGTTGTTGATAATGGTGTTGTTGTTAATAGTGTTGATGATGATAGTGGTGTTTTGTTGTTGATAGTGGTGTTGTTTTGTTGTTGATAGTGTTGTTGATGATAGCGGTGTTGATGATAGCGGCGTTGTTGATAGTGTTGATGATGTGTTGATGATAGTGGCTTTGATGATGATAGTGGCGTTGTTTTCTTGTTGTTGATAGTGTTGTTGATGATGATAGTGGTGTTGTTTTGTTGTTGTTATGTGTTGATGATATTGATAGTGGTGTTGTTGTTGATAGTATTGTTATTGATGATAGTGGTGTTGATGATATAGTGGCATTGATGATGATAGTAGTATTGTTTTGTTGTTGATGATGATAGTGGTGTTGTTTTGTTGTTGTTGATAGTGTTGTTGATGATGATGATAGTGGTGTTGTTGTATTGTTGTTGATAGTGTTGTTGATGATAGCGGTGTTGATGATAGCAGCGTTGTTGATAGTGTTGTTGATGATGTGTTGATGATAGTGGCTTTGATGATGATAGTGGTGTTGTTTTGTTGTTGTTGATAGTGTTGTTGATGATGATAGTGGTATTGTTTTGTTGTTGTTATGTGTTGATGATATTGATAGTGGTGTTGTTGTTGATAGTATTGTTATTGATGATAGTGGTGTTGATGATATAGTGGCATTGATGATGATAGTAGTATTGTTTTGTTGTTGATGATGATAGTGGTGTTGTTTTGTTGTTGTTGATAGTGTTGTTGATGATGATGATAGTGGTGTTGTTGTATTGTTGTTGATAGTGTTGTTCTTGATGATGATAGTGGCGATGATGATAGTGGCGTTGTTTTGATGTTGTTCATAGTGTTGTTGTTGATGATAGTGGTATTGTTTTGTTGTTGATAATGTTGATGATGGTGATAGTGTTGTTGATGACGATAGTGTTGTTTTGTTGTTCTTGATAGTGGTGGTGTTGTTGTTGATAGTACTGTTGATAGTGTTGTTGTTGTTGTTGTTGTTGTTGTTGTTGTTGTGTAATGATGAGCAATGCAAGACTGGCCTCAAATAATAGCTCTGTATCCTTATCTTCCAGTAATAATAATACTAATAGTCAATAATAGGAGGTTCTTGTTCTCTTATTTTAATAACAACAACAACAACAACAACCATAATAATATGACCAATATGAGTGGTCAGATGTAATAACAACAACTGTTGAGCAATTTCAGACTGGTAAATATTAATAGAGCTGTGGATTCTTAACTTCGTATTTTAATAATAATTTAATACTTATATATAGATAATCAATATGATATAATACGTAGATGATCAATAATATAGATATCAGTAATCTATATATATATATATATGATCAATACGACTGGTTCTGAAATAACAACAACACATAGATGACCAATATGACTAATAATAATAATAATAATAATAGATGGTCAAGATTGATAGGAAATAATAGTCATCAATAATAGTGCTGTGCGTTGTCGTCTTCCAATAATAATAATAATAATAATAATAATAATAATAATAATAACAACAACAAACCAATATGACTGACATGAATGTGTGAGTGGGGTGGCCCACCTTGACCATTCAAACACATAGGAGATGTTGGCCTGGTTTAACCCCGAATCTCTCTTCTTGGCTGTATGGCCATCTGTCGGGAGGGATAGGATGGTATCTTCCTTTATGGCAGAAGGGGGTTCGACTGGATGGCCTCTACCATCCTATTTTATTATTGTTGTTGTTGTTGTTATTTAAAATAGGTGTGTTTTCTTTGTTATTATTATTATTACTTTAAAATTATTATTATTAGTAGTAGTAGTAGTATTATTATTAAGCAGAGACTGGATGACCATCTGCTGGGAGGGATCGGGTGGTGGATAATGCTAAATAAATCCACCTAATTTTTATACTGCTACTACTACTAATAATAATAATGGAAATGATAAATAAATGCTCCTAATTTTTCAAATAATACTGATATGGTAATGACAATCTTAATAAAGTAATCCTAATAATAATAATAATAATAATAATAATAATAATAATAATAATAAATCCACCTAATTTTTATACTGCTACTACTACTAATAATAATAATGGAAATGATAAATAAATGCTCCTAATTTTTCAAATAATACTGATATGGTAATGACAATCTTAATAAAGTAATCCTAATAATAATAATAATAATAATAATAATAATAATAATAATAATAAATCCACCTAATTTTTATACTGCTACTACTACTAATAATAATAATAATAAATGCTCCTAATTTTTCAAATAATACTGATATGGTAATGACAATCTTAATAAAGTAATCCTAATAATAATAATAATAATAATAATAATAATAATAATAATAAATGCTCCTAATTTTTCAAATAATACTGATATGGTAATGACAATCTTAATAAAGTAATCCTAATAATAATAATAATAATAATAATAATAATAATAATAAATGCTCCTAATTTTTCAAATAATACTAATATGGTAATGACAATCTTAATAAAGTAATCCTAATAATAATAATAATAATAATAATAATAATAATAATAACAACTGCTAATTTTTCAAATAATAATAATAAATAAATGTTCCTACTTTTTAAAATAATGATGAATAAAGGTTTATAATAATAATAATGATAATAATAATGAAAATAAATAAATGCTCCTAAGTTTTCAAATAATAATATAAATAATAATGGTAAATAAATGCTAATAATAATAATAAGTGCTCCTAATTTTCGAAATAATAATAATGATAAATTAATGCTAGTTTTCAAAATAATGATGAATAAAGGTTTATAATATTAAAGATAATAATAATGACGAAAATAAATAAATGATTCTAATTTTTCAAATAATAATTATAATAATAATGGTAAATAAATGCCAATAATAATAATAAATAAATGCTCCTAATTTTCAAAATAGTAATATTGATAAACAAATGTTCCTAGTTTTCAAAATGATAAATAAAGGTTTATAATAAATAATAATAATTGCTCCCAATTTTCAAAATAATAATAATGATAAATAAATGCTAGTTTTCAAAATAAGGATGAATAAAGGTTTATAATAATGATAATAATAATGAAAATAAATAAATGCTCCCAATTTTTCAAATAATAATAATAATGATAATGTTCCTAGTGTACAAAATAATGATAAATAAATGTTCATATTAATAATGATCATCATAATAATGAAAATAAATAAATGCTCCTAATTTTCAAAATAATAATAATAATGATAAATAAATGAAAAAATTTAAAAATAATGATGAATAAAGATTAATAATAATAATAATAATAATAATAATAATGGGAATAAATAAATGCTCCTAATTTTCAAAATAATAATAATAATGATAAATAAATGAAAAAATTTAAAAATAATGATGAATAAAGATTAATAATAATAATAATAATAATAATGGGAATAAATAAATGCTCCTAATTTTTCTAATAATAATTATAATACTAGTAAATAAATGCTAATAATAATAATAATGGTGAGTGGCCTGGGTCTCCTGAAGGCCATGAGAAAGAGAGGGGGGGGGAGCCTGTCTTTTGCTCGGGGTCTCTGGAGCGGAGATAATGAGTCGGGCGCCTTGCAGGGCTTTCAAGGGGGGCTCTTGGCAAGGGACACCCCCCCCCTCCTCCTCCCCCCGGCACTCGAAATGGAGATCACCCCCCCCCCCCCCCCGCCATCCTCCCCGCAAGGAAGACTGAATGGCCGGTCGCCGGGGAGAAAGAGAAAGGAATGCCCGCTGGGCCCCTTCCCATTTTGCAAAGGACCCCGCACCAGCCAGGCCGGACAACCCCCCCCCCCCCCCCCCCCCCCGCCTTCTTCCCAAGGCCTCTCCTTGGCTTTTGCAAAAGGAGACCCAGAAAAATTATTTTTATTATTAGTAGTAGTAGTATTATTATACATATTTTATAAATTAGGACTAGTTTCGTATTATTATATATTACTATTTTATAAATAAGCACTACTTTACGATTATTATTATTATTATAATAATATATATATATATATATATATATATACATTTGCATTAGCTTATTTATTATTATTATAATTATATATTTATATTTTATACATTTGCACTAGTTTATTATTATATATTCTTTTTTATAAATTAGGACTAGATTATTATATATTTTTTATAAATTAGGACTAGTTTCGTATTATTATATATTACTATTTTATAAATAAGCACTACTTTACGATTATTATTATTATAATATATATATATATATAATACATTTGCATTAGCTTATTTATTATTATTATAATTATATATTTATATTTTATACATTTGCACTAGTTTATTATTATATATTCTTTTTTATAAATTAGGACTAGATTATTATATATTTTTTATAAATTAGGACTAGTTTCGTATTATTATATATTACTATTTTATAAATAAGCACTACTTTACGATTATTATTATTATTATAATATATATATATATATAATACATTTGCATTAGCTTATTTATTATTATTATAATTATATATTTATATTTTATACATTTGCACTAGTTTATTATTATATATTCTTTTTTATAAATTAGGACTAGATTATTATATATTTTTTATAAATTAGGACTAGTTTCGTATTATTATATATTACTATTTTATAAATAAGCACTACTTTACGATTATTATTATTATAATATATATATATATATAATACATTTGCATTAGCTTATTTATTATTATTATAATTATATATTTATATTTTATACATTTGCACTAGTTTATTATTATATATTCTTTTTTATAAATTAGGACTAGATTATTATATATTTTTTATAAATTAGGACTAGTTTCGTATTATTATATATTACTATTTTATAAATAAGCACTACTTTACGATTATTATTATTATATATTTATATTTTATACATTTGCACTAGTTTATTATTATATTCTTTTTTATAAATTAGGACTAGATTATTATATTTTTTAATAAATTAGGACTAGTTTATTATTATTATTATAATTATATATTTATTATATATTTATGTATAATAATAAATATATTTATATATATAATAAGTATATTTATATATTAATATATTATTATATATCCATATTTTATGAATTTGCACTAGCTTATTATTATATTTTTTAATAAATTAGGACTAGTTTATTATTATTATTATTTATCCATATTTTATGAATTTGCACTAGCTTATTATATTCTTTTAATAAATTAGGACTAGTTTATTATTATTATTATTATTATATATTCATTTTATAATTTTTTACAAGTTTATTATATATTCTTTTTTATAAATTTGCACTAGTTTATTATATATTCTTTTTTTATACATTAGGACTAGTTTGTTTATTATTATGATTATATATTTATTTATTTACTATATATTTACATATAATAAATATATATATTTATATATTATTATATAATCATATTTTATCAATTTGCACTAGTTTATTATATATACATATTTAATAAATTTGCACTAGTTTATTATTATATAATCATATTTTATCAATTTGCACTAGTTTATTATATATACATATTTAATAAATTTGCACTAGTTTATTATTATTATATAATCATATTTTATCAATTTGCACTAGTTTATTATATATACATATTTAATAAATTTGCACTAGTTTATTATTATTATATATTCATATTTTATCAATTTGCACTAGTTTATTATTGTATATTCATATTTTATCAATTTGCACTAAATTATTTATATATATATAAATTAGGACTAGTTTATTATTATTATTATATATTCATATTTTATGAATTTGCACTAGCTTATTATTATATATATATATTATCAATTAGGACTAGTTTATTATTATTATATAAACTAGTCCTAACTAGTCTGAGGACGCTTGCCATAGATGCAGGCAAAACGTCAGGAGAGGTAACCTAGTCTGTGCGCATCCAAAAGACCTACAACATCTGTTATAGAACTCCAATATGCCAATGATAACATAGTCTGTGCACATGCAGAAGAAGACCTACAACATCTGTTATAGAACTCCAATACGCCGATGATAACATAGATGATAATGCTTCTAGAACATGACCATACAGCCCGAAAAACCTACAACAACCCATTATTATTATTATTATTACTATTACTATTGTTAAATATTATTAATTTCACTGTCTTTTCCCATCAGTTGGGTGGCGACCTGGGGCTGACCCCGCCCGGATGCAGACGCCGCCACCGCCTTGGCCGCCTTCCCAGTCGGTGAGTTTCCTTATTTTCCCATTGATTGCATTATTATTATTATTATTATTATTATTATTATTATTATTACACTACATTATTATTATATAACATTATTATTATGTTTATACTAAATAGAACTGTGTGTCTATTATTATTATTATTATTTACTAGCTTGTGTAATTTTTTAATTGTACACAATGCATGAGGTTGTGGGTGAACTACAACTCCCATCACACAAGGTTAACCCCCTGAAACTCCATCAGTACTTAAAAGTCTTCTGGATGCTCACAGACTTTGTTATAATTGGCATATTGGAGTTCTATAACATGTTGTAGGTCTTCTTAATGTGCACATACTACATTATCATCAACATATTGGAGATCTATAACAGATGTTGTAGGCCTTCTGGATGTGCACAGACTATGTTATCATTGGCATATTGGAGTTCTATAATGAATATTGTAGGTCGTCTTCTGGATGTGCACAGACTACGTTATTATTGGCATATTGAAGCTCTATAACATACTGTAGGTCTTCTGGATGTGCACAGACTATGTTATCATTCGCATATTGGAGTTCTATAATGGATATTGTAGGTCTTCTTCTGAATGTGCACAGACTATGTTGTCATTGGCATATTGGGGTTCTATAACAGATGTTGTAGTTCTTCTTCTGGATGTGCACAGACTATGTTGTCATTGGCATATTGGGGTTCTATAACGGATATTGTAGGTCTTCTGAATGTGCACAGACTATGTTGTCATTGGCATATTGGGGTTCTATAACAGATGTAGGTCTTCTTCTGGATGTGCACAGACTATGTTGTCATTGGCATATTGGGGTTCTATAACGGATATTGTAGGTCTTCTTCTGAATGTGCACAGACTATGTTGTCATTGGCATATTGGGGTTCTATAACAGATGTTGTAGGTCTTCTTCTGAATGTGCACAGACTATGTTATCATTGGCATATTAGAGCTCTATAACAGATGTAAGTCTTCTGGATGCTCACAGACTTTGTTATAATTGGCGTATTGAAGCTCTATAACAGATACTGTAGGTCTTCTTCTGTGTATTCACAGACTACGTTATCATCGGCATATTGGAGTTCTATAACAGATGCTGTAGGACTTCTGGATGCACGCAGACTACGTTATCATTGGCATATTAGAGTTCCATAACAGATTGTAGGTTTTCTGAATGTGCACAGACTGCGTTATCATTGGCATATTGGAGTTCCATAACAGATGTAGGTCTTCTTCTGGATGTGCACAGACTACGTTATCATCGGCATATTGGAGTTCTATAACAGATGTTGTAGGTCTTCTGGATGCGCATAGACTACATTATCATCGGCATATTAGAGCTCTATAACAGATGTTGTAAATATTTTGGATGCGCACAGACTACGTTATCATCGGCATATTGGAGTTCTATAACAGATATTGTAGGTCTTTATTTATTTATTTATTTATTTACATCACTTATATCCCGCCCATATCAGCCCGCAGGCGACTCAGGGTGGTCTTCTTCTGAATGTGCACAGACTACGTTATCATCGGCATATTGGAGTTCCATAACAGATATTGTAGGTCTTTATTTATTTATTTACATCGCTTATATCCCGCCCATATCAGCCCGCAGGCGACTCAGGGTGGTCTTCTTCTGAATGTGCACAGACTACGTTATCATCGGCATATTGGAGTTCTATAACAGATATTGTAGGTCTTTATTTATTTATTTACATCGCTTATATCCCGCCCATATCAGCCCGCAGGCGACTCAGGGTGGTCTTCTTCTGAATGTGCACAGACTACGTTATCATCGGCATATTGGAGTTCTATAACAGATATTGTAGGTCTTTATTTATTTATTTACATCGCTTATATCCCGCCCATATCAGCCCGCAGGCGACTCAGGGTGGTCTTCTTCTGAATGTGCACAGACTACGTTATCATCGGCATATTGGAGTTCCATAACAGATATTGTAGGTCTTTATTTATTTATTTACATCGCTTATATCCCGCCCATATCAGCCCGCAGGCGACTCAGGGTGGTCTTCTTCTGAATGTGCACAGACTACGTTATCATCGGCATATTGGAGTTCTATAACAGATGTTGTTGTGACCTTGGTTTTGGCTTTCAGTCTGCTGAGGTTAAAAAGCTGATAGATGATTTGGAGGATGGTATTTATTTATTATTTATTTATTTTTATTATGGCATGACCCATGAATATGCTGCTGCTAATGATGCTGATGATGATGATAATAATAGACACATAGCTGCTTTGACTCATGTTTGTGGAGAGAAAAGCAAGGTATAAAGAAATATAATAATAATAATAACAAAACAACAACAACAATAATCCTAATAATAATAATAATAATAATAATAATAATAATAATAGACACATATCTGCTTTGACTCTTCTTCGTGGAGAGAAAAGCAAGGTATAAATAAACATAATAATAATATCAACAACAACAATAATAATACTAGTAATAGTAATAATAGTAATAATAATAATAGAAACATAGCTGCTTTGACTCCTGTTTGTGGAGAGAAAAGCAAGGTATAAATAAACATAATAATAATAATAATAATATCAACAACAACAACAACAATAATACTAGTAATAGTAATAATAGTAATAATAATAATAGTAATAATAGTAATAATAATAGAAACATAGCTGCTTTGACTCCTGTTCGTGGAGAGAAAAGCAAGGTATAAATAAACATAATAATAATAATAATATCAACAACAACAACAACAACAACAATAATACTAGTAATAGTAATAATAGTAATAATAATAATAGAAACATAGCTGCTTTGACTCCTGTTCGTGGAGAGAAAATAAGGTATAAATAAACATAATAATAATAATAATAATAATACTAGTAGTAGTAATACTAGTAATACTAGTAATAATAATAATAGAAACATAGCTGCTTTGACTCCTGTTCGTGGAGAGAAAAGCAAGGTATGAGTAAACATAATAATAATAATAATAATATCAACAACAACAATAATAATACTATAATAATAATACTAGTAATAGTAATAATAGTAATAATAATAATAATAGAAACATAGCTGCTTTGACTCCTGTTCGTGGAGAGAAAAGCAAGGTATAAATAAACATAATAATAATAATAATAATAATAATAATAATAATACTAGTAATAGTAATACTAGTAATACTAGTAATACTAGTAATAGAAACATAGCTGCTTTGACTCCTGTTTGTGGAGAGAAAAGCAAGGTATGAGTAAACATAATAATAATAATAATAATATCAACAACAACAATAATAATACTATAATAGTAATAATAATAATAGTAATAGTAATAATAGTAATAATAATAATAATAGAAACATAGCTGCTTTGACTCCTGTTCGTGGAGAGAAAAGCAAGGTATAAATAAACATAATAATAATAATAATAATAATATCAACAACAACAATAATAATACTATAATAGTAATAATAATAATAGTAATAGTAATAATAGTAATAATAATAATAGAAACATAGCTGCTTTGACTCCTGTTCGTGGAGAGAAAAGCAAGGTATAAATAAACATAATAATAATAATAATAATAATAATAATAATAATATCAACAACAGCAATAATAATAATACTAGTAATAATAATAATACTAAATCCTAAGCCTTGCCTTTTTTGCCTTCCTTTGAAAGCGCTGTCTCTCCTCCTCCTTTGGCTTCACGGTCCATTGCACATTGAGGGCACTTTCCTCTCTTTCATTCTTTCTTTCTCGTTCCCTTTTTCTCTCTCTCTCCGTTTTCGGTTGCTTTCCTGCTGTTTCGGGGCCTTTGTTGCCTCCGCTTCCCTTTCGCAAAGGCCGCTCGGCATGCGTTTAACTCTACACATCCCTGAAAAAGGAGTCAGACTAAATATATACAATAATATAATATATTATATATCATCTATACGAAAACTTATAATAATATAGCACAAAATATATATAATATATTATATATTGTTATCTACGCCAACTTATAATAATATAGCACAATATATTTTATATAATACTAATAGTATAAAATACTTATAGTGTATTAGATAAGTTGTGGTATAATACTATAGAACAATATAATAATATAATAATAATAATAATATAATAATAATAATAATAATAATTGTATATTATAAATCGGTATACAAATATAGTAAATAAATAGATAACTAAATAAATAATATATTACATGTAGGTAAAATATAATATTTATATGTATTTATATAATATATATTATATAATACTAATAGTATAATATACTCGTAGTGTATCAGGTAAGTTGTGGTATAATAATAATATAGTACAATATAATAATAATAATTGTATATTACAAACCAGCATACAAATATAGTAAATAAATAAATAATATATTACATGTTGGTAAAATATAATATTTATATGTATTTATATAATATTTATTATGTAATACTAATAGTAGAATGTACTGGTAGTGTATCAGGTAAGTTGTGGTATAATAATAATATAGTACAATATAATAATAATATAATAATAATTGTATATTGCAAATATAGTAAATAAATAAATAACTAAATAAATAATATATTACAAGTTGGTAAAATATAATATTTATATGTATTTAAATAATATTTATATACAATAAATATATTTATAAATATTATATAATATAAATTCAATTTACAATAATAATATAATAATAATAGTATATTATAAATCGGTATACAAATATAGCAAATAAATAAATAATATATTACATGTAGGTAGACTATAATATTTATATGTATTTATATAATATTTATATAATATAAATAATATATTTATAAATATTATATAATATAAATTCAATTTGTCTTTTGGGTTGAATAGGTCGACAGCAAGCTAGACTATTAATAGTCGGGAGCTCACTCTGACCTGGGCTGGCTTCGAACTCATGACCTCTGGGTCAGTAGTGATTTAATGCAACTGGCTACTAACTAGTTGCGCCACAGCCCGATG